TTGTGACTGGTTATGTAGAAAGTGAAAGGAAGTCTACAGTTGTGCTATAACATCAGTCCCAGGTATTTCAAAAACCTTACACGTGTTGCAACATACACTCAAGCAGTTGCCCCTCCCCTTTCTCCAATCTGTGGAGGCTTCTACAACAATATTTCATTGCCAACCTTGAACTTTAACTGTTGTTTGCACGCCTGTGAATGTTTTCTAGCTTTACAGCAAGCCGTTGTGGTGTATATCAACTATAACCCACCTGTTTTTCAACTTTTGCCGTAAACTCGGCGATTTTTCCGTCGGTGTCTGCCATTTTGCCGGAGGTAACCTTTGACCGTTTCTCGTACCCGGAGCGCTGCGGCACGGTGTCCTGGGTTCGAGATGAGGTATTTACCAACATGGCCGCCTACTCATCAATGGAGCAGACCTGAACGCGTTTCTGACTGATTCCACGTAGGATTTTCCCCTATTCCTCCAGATATGATCACCGGAAAACGTTAAATTTATTATAGGGAATCGTCCACGCTATTCAGGACACTGAGAAAGGTAAGGATCATTCTCTAGGAAAAGGCTATATGCCCTATATGAAATTTTTTCAAACCTCAACCAAGGAGGTTTAAAAACCTTGCCTCATCAACTCCAAAAACAAACTAAAATAACCACCTTAATGTTGATTTGATGGTAAAGACTAAAAAAGATATATTTGCAGTGTCACTTTGGTGTAATTTATATAATATTTGCAGATACATGTAATTTGCAAATCATTATATTATTGCAGTAATTGTTTACTTATAATAGATCCTGAGATAAAATGTAACTTTGGAAAAGTGCTACATGTACAGTAATATAATTTGGTTCAAATCAAACTCTGTCCTGCAACTTTGCTACATAATGTAATCCAATACCACAGGGTGTCTGCTACAGCAGCAGTTACCATGGTGACAGACGTCTGGTCCAGGTCATTGACCTGTTCTATTCGCAGGAAAATATAATAACTCTAAACTTTTATACTAAATATTGCCTTGTACTGTAGGACAGTCTACTCTAAGTTGTGACATCGTGACAACATGGCTGCCTCTACGCCGTGTTCGGACACCACGGAGGCGGTGGAACTGTACCCCCAGCAGGGCCTGTGGCTGAAGCCCATCGCTCGTCTGAACGTGAGCGTGTCGCTGCCGCAGCTCAAGACCCCCGGCAAGTCCATCTCCAACTGGGAGGTGATGGAACGCATCAAGGCCATGGTCAAACCTGATACCTTCTCCCTGCTCAAGGTCGTCAAGAGCACGCTGGAGTTCATCAGGTGAGATATATACAAGGGGAATTTCACAAACAAACACCACATGTTTTCATCAAGATCTGCATCCAAAAGTGATAGAATATGAAATATGGAGGCGAACGATATTGTAACAGGCTACCATGCCAGTGTAGTAGCCTCCACCAGTGTGGCTCCACCATGCCCCTGAAACACGTTTCTGACCATGCTTTACTTTATGCATGTCAAAGTAGAAAGTGTCGCAATGCATCGCATAGCACATGCACAGTCTTAATTGTGAACTCATTATTACACATCCCCCCAGCTCTTTAACCTAACATGTACAAATGAAAAATATCTGTGTGCGAAAAGATCGTGACGATCCCGTGTCTTTCCCCAGGTTTGAAGGAGAAGTGGAGGCCAAGTCCCTGCTGAAGACCATGGTGGCCAGGCTGGACAGTAAAACCATCAAGCTCAGCGGCTTTACCGAGATGCTGAAGGTCCGGGCAGCGGAGGCCAAGGTGGTCTTCCCCACGCGCCACGAGTGGGACTCCCACTTCCGGGATGCAAAGTTCCTGAACGAGACAGTTCCGGGAGAGAGACCCGACACCGTGCACTTCGAGGGTCTGCCCTGCAAGTGGTTCACGGCGTCCAAGGACAGCGACAAAGCCAGTGAACACGTCCTGAAGAAAGTTTATGGGACGTTCGGGGAAGTCCGTCGTGTGGACATCCCGATGTTAGACCCGTACAGACAGGAGAACAGGACTGGGAACTTCAACACCTTTTCTTCCTTCTCCTCGTTAGGGACTAGCCTGACGTTCGAGGCGTATGTACAGTTTAAGGAGTACATCGGCTTTGTGAACTGTATGGAGCACCTGAAGGGGATGAAACTCATGTACAAAGGTGACGACAACAAGGCCGCTACAGCTAACATCAAGGCAGGTGACACAGATACATGTAGTATTTTACCTTTTTGGGGTTTCTGGAAAAGATAGAGCGGTTTACCTTGCCAGGCTACCATGCCAGTCTATCTGTATCTGTATAGCTAGTATAACCGTCCTTTGACATAACAAACTAGCTTCCCAGGTATGCGTCACTGTGGCAGCTGGCTATATTACACCAAACAACCTGTTGCACCTAACCTTTGTGCATCTAATTGCTGGTGTTGCAACTGATCAAAGCTATCTAGTGATGATGTCCCAACTGTATATGGTGGCAGTGAGTTTCACTCTTAGACAGTTCTAGGAACCTTACCCTTTTCAGATGCCCTGTGACCTTTAGTGACCCCACTGACTATCATACATATACTTTTCCCCACAGGTGGATTTTGACAAAACCGGTCACCTGAGCGACAAGGCCATCCGGAAGCGCCGACTGGAGCGGGCGAAACTTCAGGAGCTGGAACACCAGCGGGAGGAGCAGAAACGCAAGGAGAGGGAGGAGGAGGAACGCAAGAAGGAGGAGGAAAGGTGAATTGTCTTTTTGGAGCTTTTTGAAGTGTCAATTCTAAAAAACTACAAGGCTCAGAATAGGTTTGAGCAAGTCACATAGACTATGTTTTGATTATGTTTACCTTCATATTGTTTTTGCTCTGTTTCTTCTTCTGTTCCAAACAAATAAGGTCAATGACCTGAACCAGACATCTGTCACCATGGTAAATGGGGCTGTAGCAGACTCCTCTGGCATTGAATTACTTTATGTAGCAGGACAGATTTGGAGGGTTTGTTGGTAAGGTAAAGGTACACAACATGCAAATTTTACCTTTCTAGTTTGTCTATCATTTTTATCTAATCCAATTTAGGAAGAAAAAGGAAGAAGAGGAGAAGGAGAGAGAAAGAAAAAGAGAAGAAAAGCTGAGAAGACGAGAGGAGCGCATGAAGTACCGAGAGGAGAAACGGCGGGAGAAGAAGCTGGAGAAGAAACGTCAGGAGGAGCAGCGGCAGCTCCAGGAGAAGATTGCCCTGGAGGAGAGGAGGATCCTCATCGCACAGAGGAAACTGGAGTCAATCAGACTGCTGACTGAACTCTTCAAGAGAGCAAAGGTACTTACTTCAGCTGTCAGTTTTAAGGGCATTTGAAGTGATTTTAGGGCAGTAAAACTGGATCTTCAAAGTCAATTTTCAGGTCATTTTTTTAATGTAGTAAGTTGAATCAGTCCTATCCCATAGCATACTGATACCTGTGAGGCAAAAGTAAGGCAATTGTTGCTTGTTTTGTGTCATAGGCTAGTAATAGGTATCTATTGGTGATACCAAGTAAGTAAGAAAATGTGCAGAAATGGTAGTAAATGTCAATAAAAGACAAGTTTCCTCATCCAGAATGTTATTTGTTTTAAAAAGCAAAAAAAAAGCAAAAAGGGTGGTAAATTAACCAATTACAGTGTATGCTTGATCCACAGGTGGTGAAACAGCAGCAGGAGGTTGAGAGACTGGAACAGGAGCTTGAACAGGAACGTCTCAGGCAGCTCGCCATCGAGAGGAGGAAAAAGGAAGAGGAAGAACTGAAAAGGAAGAAAGAAGAGGAACGAAAGCAGAAAGAACTGCAAAAGAAGGAGGAAGAGTTGAGAGAAAAACTGGTGAAAGGGCTGAAGAAGAGGAAATACAAAGAGGAAGAACAGCACAGAGAAGAGTTGAGACAGAAGATATCTGGACAGAAATTAAAGTCGGCAGTCGTCATGCCGCACACTTAACAACCTGGCACAGGTGCTGTCTGCTAGCCTCTTCCAGGCTTTAGAAGTGTCAGGAAAGAGGAATTGGCCAAATAGATGCCAGGGAAGTTGCCAGCTACTTCTAAAGCCTGGTAGAGGCCATGCCAGCTGTCTGCAAAACATCCTACCTCTTAGGATACTCTGCGTTCTGTCTACATGTTGGTAGCAATCTGCCTGAAACACCATCTAGGCAAAACTAGGATTGACATGCACCCGGGTATTAAGAAAGCCAGTCTTGTTTTTATTTTCCCCAGACAATTCTATTCAATAATGATTTTGTGGGCATATTTTTAGTCAGTGAATTGTAAAAAGCTGTACAACAAAATACATTTTTTTTGTGAAAATTTTTGTTGCATTGTTGATGTAGTAGGATTTGTGTAGTCATAGTTAGTGTAGGTACCTTTATGTCCAAAGAAAACCTGCATGTACATGTATATGTACGACGCTTGTCAACCGCATATGGCTATTAGGCAGCTGAAATATTAAGAAATGTTCACATAGTTTGAGTAGTCATGTTTAGTTTGCGTTAGACTTTTTCTACATTACAAACTACTTAACAAATACGTTGTTCTATCATGAAGACATTATACACTATCATGTAATTGAAATGACAAACGTTCCACTCAATAAATCTCATACAGCTTTTTGCATTTGAGTGCCATACTTTTGTCTAGCTTGATTCACAAACTCCACAAGTAAACAGGACTTCACTGTTTAGTCTCATCACCTGTCTCCATGGCAAATTAAGTAGAAAGCTCACCAAGAACCATCGGCCTGGATTTTACTTTCATTTGGAAAGCTACTGTAACATTGAACTGAATGATACAATTGAGTTCAAATGAGCAGAGAGCCTGTTGAACAAACAAGATTAGACCACACAGCGGTTTACCAAGCAAAACAATTTATTCTTCTTACAGGAATACATTCAATTACAACCCTCTGAACAATATGGACTAAGCCATCATTGGAACATTCACGGTAGATGTACACAGCTCCTTACAATGGTCAGGAATATATTGTAGTATTCAGTAATTATTGGATAATAATTATACAGTAAAATATCAATTCCTTCTTGCAGTTGCTATGAGAAGGCTACATCATGGTGTGACACAAAAATCGGAAATTCCTACTGTGCTTCTGTAACTTCTAAAACTTGGTTTGACATTTTCTCAACAACCGACGCATACTTCAAACACATTGTCAAACATTCTGTACAGGATATTCAAGTCTGTCACAACTCTTGGGAATGAGATGGTAACATTTACCTACTGTATCGGGAGCACTTGCTTGATAAGTCTGGAGCTTTATGAAAAGGCATGGTGATCATTGGCAACAATATGCTTCACTACTGCACAAGCCAAATTCAACAGCGCCCTCTATACATCTATATCTTTGTACCATAAGTGCACCAAGCCTGCCTAAATATTCCATGTACATTGTACATGGAAGTGATATTTTCCCAAATTGTTAGATTGCTTATATATTACACAAGAAAATAACAGGTTAGACATGGCTATCACTGGGTATTTGAAATTGTAAACATATGTTTTTCTGACAGACATTTCTCTGTTTCTCTGTAGTCAAGACATAGGGGCACAAGAGTAATTTCAAGTCACATGTTGGTCTCTTCTAAAGTGAGAAAACAACACAGCATCCAACACCTTAAGTGTTTCCAGACGAGACATGTTAGTCTTAAACTTGGGAGAATTCTACCAGTTTGGGATTTTGCAAGTTGCTCTTCTGACAAAGTGTAAATTTTTTCTGAGCTTTCTTCCTGGTGGTTACAATTAGAATGTCAAATGAATCTGGTCGGGACATGTAACTGCCAAACTCTTCCACAATATTGGAGAGTATATGTAATACTGTCCAGAGCTGGCTTGTTAAGATTTTGTCCCCCACACATATATGTAACACAATTCCGACAACATCAGGTTCCTAATACTTGGCACTTCCATCTTAACTCGAAACTTTGTTTGTATTTTGAAGTGACAAACCTTCAAAACTTATTCTTGTACATGTTTCAAAAGGGTTAACATCTATGTAGGAAATCTATACATTTCCCTCACAAGCCTGATGAGCATTACTACCCCCCTGTTCTGCCCATCCTAGATTGAATTAGTACACTATATACAGCACCAGTGACCAGCTCTCAACTCAACCCACAAACAGCTTGCTATGGGAACAGCCAGACTATTCTCTCTATACAATTGAGCAATCAGCATGTATGTTGAAAACACAAATACAGCACTGCTAATTCATTTCTGAAAGCTTCATGAAGGAATGATATGATTACAAAGCACCTTGCTAGTGCTGAATTTATATCATTTACATTCAGCTAATTTTTAGGATACCCAAAATATAGGCTCTTCCCCCTGCACAAGATGATGAAACCATCAATTTTCTACTTGCTTCAGAATACATGACTTGAATTGACTGAACTGATCTAAATTTACATTTATCAAGATACAAAACATTTGCAATGCCAGTATCTTGTATATCATGCACATATGTGTACTCTTTCTATCATGATGAAAAAGTGATAATTAAAAAGTTATCCTGTACTCAAAACCCTTGGGCATTCATATTCACCAGTGAGCACACCAGTATCAAGTTGGTACTGTAACATAACACACCCAAGAGGTGTTTAAAGTAACTATTCCAGAATTTTTTTTTGGGGGGGGGGGTGGCACCGTCCATCCTATCTCATGAAATTAAGAATTACATTATTGTAATAGTACAACAACTGATACAGGTTGTAGAAGGGGAGACAGTCTGGATGATCCCATGGCCGGATGTTCCAGGAGAGCTGAACTAGTCGTCCTTTGTTCTCTCTTTGCTCTGCTCTGCTTCCTTGACGTCCTCCTCGTCTGTGTAGTCGTGTGGCTCCTCCCCCGGCTTCAGCAGCCTGCCCACGTAGTCATACTTCTCTGCAGAGAGGAAGTGTTGGAATAATATATATGATAAGTGCCTGCCTGTACCTAGTGGAACACTTATTGCATGACAGATTTGATAGCTAATTGAGTCAATAGAAATATTAAAGGAACAGAAAACTGAGAGAGATGGCTACTTTTAGTAGACTAAGGGATAGACAAAATGATATGATGACATGACAAAGAGTCAATTAAGAATCCAAGTTAATTTGAGTTTATTTTCAAATTCTTAGCCATCATTGGACTATTAGGAAATAGGAAGTGCTTGTAGAAAATAGTACTGTAAATCTACCAATACCAAGATTCGCAAAATAAGCTGCTCAACTTTAGTGCAGTGTCACATGGTTGCTGCTACACTTGTATTTTGAATAATAAAAAATAGAGTTGATTTAGACTAATACTAATACACACTGCTGTATTTGTAGAAGACAGTAAGTCTACCATGTCCCACCTTGGAACTGTTGCTCCCACTCGCGGATGCTCTCCCACTGCATGGCGTTCAGGTCAGACAGGTCGTCGTACTCATCACGGATCGCCTCCTTGTCCACCGAGAACGTCCCCAGGCCACGAGATGCGTCCCGACCAGCAAAGATTCCATATGGACCCTCTGGAATAGTGTCAGAAGACCAGAGTTATTCTAGCCTCTACCAGGATTCGGGAAGCTAAAAGTTGGCCAAATAGACAGATAACTTGATGGGAAGGGAGTGGAGAGGTCACTGCATAATTAAATAAAACTAAAATATATTGGACACTAAGCTAAAATTTCATGATTTATAGGTTAGAGTAGACCAAAATGGTAGCAGCACATCAGCTGATCACATTGAAGAGGTTACCAGCTGGCACTGCAAGTTTGGCTGTTTGTTATTAGAGTGTCCTTCACACACATGGAAGACTAGAGGCCAATGTCTGGTTTCTAGGTCAGTTCTCAAATTTCTTGGCAAGCACCAAAAACCTTCACAACAATCTGTAAACAACTAGCCAGAAAGGGAACATACTGTTTGGCAGAGAATAGTAAGAAATACATGTAAGGTCTGGCAGTCCATTTAAGTTGACCTTGGCCTGTTTATTTCACATTTAGTTGGGTTTGAAACACACTGCAGGTCTGCAGCTAAGGTGAAATACCGGTAATCAGGACAAGGTCAACATAAATGGCTTCAACTTTGTGTCTGATGCAAGCTTTAGGCAACATTTATGGTTTATGTCCACAGGCAAGAAACTTCAACATGTTTTTACATAGTTTAATTTTTTTATTTAGGATGTTCACACTTATATATAACTAAGTAATATTATACTTATAGCTAACAAGGATAGACTTTACAAATTTTCTGTTATTTTGTTAAAAAAATAGCAGACCATTTTCAACCTTCACCTTACAAATTTTGCAAGACATGCACAAACAATTATAGATAGTCAATCAAAATGTTCACAGTGCATGTTTTCATACATATTAACACAGCGTTGCAAGTTGGTCTGCTGATTTTCAACATCCAATAGCGCTCTGACAAGTTGCCTTTCTCTTTACATAAGAGAAGCAAAGGTCAATGACCGGTAGATCAGGATCTGGACTCCTAACCTATATATGTCGCAATGAATTGGTAGAGGATTAAAACTGAAAACTCAGTAATTGTTTAAGATTTAAAAAAATGCATTGGGTATGTCTGATGTCTTTACATATCAGAAATATGCTAATGAGTAGCAACACAAGAAGATGATGTAATCTTCTATTTCTATATTTCGATTCATGTAGTCAACTTTGACCAAGGACATTTTAAGTTAGAGTGCCCAATTAGGCTACTACTATGTATGACAGAACAATGATACACAGAAATTACCAAGGGCTGCTTATCATCATTGCTGTGAAACCTATAAGTATAATCTGCCTGTCCAGTATTGGTATGAGAAACTGCCAGAGAAGTCAGACAGACATGCAGACTGACAAATGGTTGGGGATTACATGTCCCTGGGCACTCCGAAGTTGACCTACTTTCTTGTTGTGTATTTATCCTCCTGAGATCTGGCTAGCTGTGTGCAAATGAGTGATGCCATAACAAACATCTAACTTCAGTTGTCACAGGAACTATCTGTTTACATCTACCTTATGGGATATCTTGATCAGGTCATAAGATAATATTACTCAGTAGATACCTGGAGACTGAGAAAGCGTCTACAGTTACATCATAGCATACATATTCATTGCAGGCTGTCTGAGGTGATATAATTCGCATGCTAACAATTTTGTTTGCCTCAAGGCCTTGAAGCTTATCATGGTAGGAATTCCTTTTGCATTGTTGGATCCCCAGTATGATGTATCAACATGCATTTGGTACAATTGGCATAAGTAGAGCTTAGGTAAAGCTAACGTTCAACAGTGTGAAATAAATTTTCGTGACAGCTGACAGAATTTTCCAAAACATTTTTATGTACATGTAAAACTACAGTGAACGTTAGATGTCGAAAGAACATACGGTATACGGAATTATTTTGTTGACATGATCTCAAATGTTATCAAACAACGTCAGCACAGTTAAGGATATGTATAACTTTGGATACTGATCATACTAGTATTACAGACGTTAATGTACTTCATGACATGACGTTGTTGAACGTGCCAGACAAAGGAACAGGTTTTGCACGCAAACTGGGCTCACTTCACAGAACACAAAGTAAACAGAGCGTCCGATCTGTTTGGGGGCACGCTTGGTGTAGGACGCCTGCCACTACCAAAGCTGTACAAGGTCACTACGTGTAGGTGTAAGTGGGCGTGAACGGATGTTTCCCATACGTACCCGGTCCGTAGAAGGCCCTCCCCCGGCTGACATCGAAGACCTTGCCGTTCACGGCGATCAGGATGCGGCCCTCCTCGGTCTCCGGCTCGCCCCGGCCGTCGAACTTCTGTAACTCCTGCGGGGAGAAGTCCCGCTTCTTCATCGGCGGCAGCCGCGGCTTGCTCGGCACCGAGGCCTGGCGGCGCCCGCCTATGATCTTGTAGAGCAGGAAGAGGCACAGGAATATGAGGAAAAGGTTGATCGGGGAGAGGAGCTCGGCCAGAAGGCCGGCCTCTCCAGACTCGGGCGCCGCCGCTCCGGACTCGACTCCGTCCGCCATTTTCTGCTGAAATAAGGTTGAGCGCATGCGCACTCACCTCAGTTACCCGTCCTGCTTTGTAAAGTTCGAAAGTTCAAAGTTGTCATTATTTCCCACAACAAAGAGGTTGTGTTTTTACAACATTTCGTTTTGATACAAGCTGTTTGGATTTCATTTATGTGCAAAAATAGTGTGAAGTACATTGCATCTGCATGCCCGCACTATAAAAATGTCTGACAGGTGTTTCTTGTGGTTTTTATTGACTTGTAACATGTCATTAGTTGGAGAAGCAGGTGTTCACCTTGAGGGTACAGGCTCAAGGTTACATTGATTTCTTCACATACAGGAAGACAAAGTAAAATATGCATGCAACAACAGCAAAGGTTGCAAAAGTCATAGGTGTCACAAGGAATGGCAGCTGGAGAGAGTAGAAACTGTAGCCTGGGTACCATCCGGATTTTGGCTCCACAACACTCACTTGATTTTTTCAAGCGTTGGGGAGCCAAAATATGAATGGTACGCCAGCTATAGAAACTGGCCAAATAGATAACATGCCAGGGGAGCCACATGCAACATTAGGAGTACAGTTTGCTGCTCTAACCAATTCACCTGGCATATATATTTACTCTTTCCAGCCACTTCTGAAGCCTGGTAGAGGCTAACAAGGAACAAAATAAAAAATATGCATGCTCTTTCTGATAGTCTGTCTCCTTTTTAAACTGAACTGAACAATGTAAATGCTGGTGACTCAAGGACATTGACTTGTATTGACATTTACATTCCTTCCCTCCCTTGTTGATCATTGCCTCTGCATTTCCACACTTTAACATATCTGACCAAGTTTGTGGCCTTGCAATGTGTCTTGCATCTTTTCAAAGCTGGATGGGTATAATTAGCTGGCAATACATACTACTATTACTAGTATAACTATGAAGTTTAGGATCAGAACAGTTATCACAGATTTTTCTTCTATGTTGACCATTCCCGCAAATTTTATGGCAATGCCCCTAATCATGTTATGGTGATGTCCCAAATTTACGAAGTAAAAAATGACACGCAGACCTGAACATTTCAGTGCTGATTATTTATTGCCTTTGTGCACAAAAATAAGCTCCTAATTTAGAAGCAATCACATATACTATTTGGTGCTTTTGTTTACATGCCTACAATAGTATTTCTGCTAGTCACTTCGAGATAGTTCTTCATGACATCAACACCATCTCAGGTGGAATAAGTTGACTACTTGCTCTACACGTTCAAAGACCTATAGCATTACATGAACATTATTATTTACATGTACAATAGAATTTTTTAACACATTCTCAAGATATATGTAGGTGGCCACAATGGTAAGGGTGGGGGGTGAAGATGCACAGCACAAAATTTATCAAATG